AAATTTATGAGAAATAAAATGATGAAAATAATCCTCTGAAATAACTATTCTGGTGTTACTTTTTATAAGTACAATTCTCTAACAACAATAGTTTTGTCACATTAGACACTATCAGTATTAACTCCAACTAAAAAATCGGATTAACCCTAGTATGATTAATTTTCTCTAAAAATTCTTTCTTACTACCAAACAGAACTGAATTTTAAACGAATATTCTTGTAGATTAATTTGTGATCCATGTGATCTTGCATTTATTAGATGATCGATCACATCTGTATTAATGTGTATATTAACTATAAATTAACGCAAATAATAAATCAATTGTTTTCATCGGCACATTTTTGTAGGTAAATTTGAGTTTTACTGCTTGAAGAGCAAAGAAAGATCCAACTTCCAGTTGAGGAAGAAATCAGGAAAAAATGCATCTCGCGGAAATCATTCAACTGTTTCACGAGAGAAACCCTAAATATAAATTATATGGACAGAGAAACAAAGCCGTGACAAACTGCAGTTGTTTTGTGGACATTATTTCACTTAATTCAAGAATTGTAAGATACACATATTTAGTTTCGTTCCCACGTTATTCTATAAACCATAAGCTTCAGTTTGATGCATGATTCACTGACATACCCATTTCTGTTCCAAAGCTATTGTAATTTAAACGTAACATTTAGTACTCTATTTTCTCTACCCTAATGCCCAGTTTCGACATAATTGTATTTTTCTAATTGTTTGGCGTTGTGGTTACATTAAACATCTATTTATTCATGTTTCTGCACTGATCTGAATTTGGAATCGGAAATAAATCGAGTATTGTTCCAGTTGACTTGTCTTCTATCTTGCTTGTCAACCGATCGGGTAATAGAATAGTTTTCGTCTCTCTACCTATGATCTTCAGTCCCAATTCGGACTCACACATTTCTAGACCCAAGGTTAAACCAGATAGTCTATCGTGTCAGGACCTTAATCTAGATTGAGATTGTTGGCGGAATAAAACATGAAATACTATTGAAACTCGAAATCTTAGTCATCAGTCTTATGCAACGTAAAACATGACACATGTGTACATTGGTTCAAGATCTAGAGGAAAGTAAAAAATTAATGCATCTGCGTCAGTGACTGGTTTTGAAGCGCCACTCGACGTCTCTGGTTGTTTACCACGATTATCAGGCAAACGTAAGCAACAAACGTTCAAGTATGCTACGGCTTAGTGTTCAGTCCATATATTTCATTCCGAGAAAGAGGTGTATGAAACCAGCTAACCTAATGTAGCCTTGCATACTGGACAAAGTTGTCCAGTGAAGGTTACAAATCAACACTTAACTCGTCAAAGCCTGGTGAGGAAAGTGGAGAGTAGTATATGAACCATACCTTGAGAGACCCACCAGTAATTTTCATTTGTGGAAAACAAGCGCATTTTAAAACAGGATACATTTACATAAATGTCTACTAAGTAGTGCTAATACCACTCAATAATGTTTTAGTCAATAGTATTTAAGCCATTAAACCAATGGTTACCGTAAAGATGATGTGGTTTCAATACACTTCAAAACACTAGACATAAAGACTAGCAAGAAATATAATCAGTGTCGTAAACTGCTTAAATACCTTTAAGACACTTAGCTAAGACCTACGACTGACTCCGTAGACGCCCAACTTCGAGACCAACAGGCGGGATTCCATAAGGATCAATCGTGTACAGACCAAATCGCAACACTACAGATCATTGTGGAACAATCAGTTGAATGGAATTCATCACTCTACATCAACTTCATTTACTACGAGAAAGCATTTGATAGCGTGGACAGGACAACACTATGAAAGCTTCTTCGACACTACGGCATGCCTAAGAAAATAGTCTATATCATACGAAATTCATATGATGGAGTAAACTGCAAAATGGTGTATGGAGGACAGCTGACAGACTCGTTCGAGGTAAAGGCCAGTGTCAGGCAAGGTTGCTTACTACCACCCTTTCGCTTTCTCCTGGTGATCGACTGGATTACGAAGACGCCAACAACTGGGGAAAAGCATGAGATACAGTGGACAGCTTGGATGCAGCTGCACGATCTAGACTTCATAGATGATATGCCTCTTCTATCGCACACGCAGCAACAAATGCAGAAGACGACCAGTGTAGCAGCAGCCTCAGCAGCAGCAACAGTAGGTCTCAACATAAACAAAGGCAAAAGCAAGATCCTCCGATACAACACAGCATGCAACAATCCAATCATACTTGACGGAGAAGACTTGGAAGATGTAGAAACCTTCACATATCTGAGCAGCATGATTGATGAACACGGTGGATCTCATGCAGATGTGAATACGCGGATTGGATCGGCAGAGCAAGAGCAGCATATTTACAAATGTAGACCATCTGGAACTCAAAACAACTCTCTGTCAACCAACACCAAAGTCAGAATTTCCAATACAATTGTCAAGACAGTTCTACTGTATGGAGTGGAAACCTGGGGAACTACGAAAACCATCATCCAGAAGACACAAGTGTTTATAAACAGCTGTCTATGTAAAATACTTCGGATCCATTGGCCAGACACTATCAGCAACAACCTACTGTTGTGGGAGAGAACAAACCAGATCCCATCGGAGGAATAAATCAGGAAGAATCGCTGGAAGTGGATGGGACACACATTGAGGAAAGCACCGAACTGCGTCACAAGACAAGCCCTCACTTGGAATCCTCAATGTCAAAGGAGAAGACGAAGGCCAAAGAACACATTACGCCGGGAAATGGAGATAGACATGAGAAAAATGAACAAGAATTGGATGGAACTAGAAAGGAAGGCCCAGGACAGAGTGGGTTGAAGAATGCTGGTTGGCGACCTATGCTCCATTGGGAGTAACAGACGTAAGTAAGTAAGTAAGACCTACGACTACAATGTGGTTCAGAAAACAGGCTGATGCCTTATTTGTGCTGGTTTGATATAGCAGACTGTCAAACAGATACTACCAGCTATGACATGAATACACGAACTTGTGGTATAAAGCAGAACATTAATGAAAAGCATGAATGGAAACTATTTACTATCAATAAGGCAGCAAGTGAAGAAAAATATATAACTTGGTATCTCTGCTAAGATAACCGAAAAATACGTTAATGGACAGATATAGAATAATATTCTTTTATGAAACAATTTTAAGCTATAAGGAAACGATAGATAAAAACTCATCTCTGTACAAACTAGAAAGTTGTGAGTTTGTAGATCAAATGAAAATACGTATTTGATGCATCTTTAGCACACAAAGGTAGTAACAAACACTAGAGACCACTTAATTGATATATAAACGTGTACAATATTTATAGTCAGTCAGTCAGTCAGCTAGAACGTAGGACCAGGCATATATATGCATCGGTCCAAGTTGCCACATCTTATTAGCACAACAAGATGAACACCGGATTCATAGGAGCAGTTAAGTCAATGGTTGTAATATATAAAAGAAAGATTGCATATGAGGATATAGTACAGGAAGAAAGAATTAGTTCGTAGAAAGAAAGATATGATGTGATTTTAATCTCATAGTTTAAGAGAAGATAAAGAGTGTATACACCGACGCCATTGTGATCGATTCTGAGCCATGTCACCAAGAGTCTCCAACCAGTGGTTACGATAGTCATGCGGACACCAACCAAGTGGTCTGCATCTACCAACATGGCTCAGACCAGAAGTTAGTGTCCTCAAGCACTGATGTCACGTTTTGGTTCGGCCACCCCTAACTTTCTTGTGCGTCGTGGTAATCGGTCGTTGGGCATACGCACCACGAGGACCAACCATCTCAGTCGACGTAGATTCACAACTTCATCAACTGATTTACCATCATTCCCTAATACCCTGCGTCTAACCTCACTATTACTTACCCGGTGATCCCCGCAGATGTGAGCAATATTTCTAAGGCATCTGTGGTCAAATACTAGTAGCCTACGAGTATCTTCTAATCTTTATGATCACGTTTCGCAACCGTTAAGTAAAACAGAACGAACTGCCGCACAGTATGCTCGTCCCTTAATTGATAGACGGATATCTCGCCTTCGCCATAAGTGACGAAAGCCAAACGAGCTTTTCGAATCCGTGCTGAGATTTCGTCAGACACTAACCCATTAGGGCTGATAAGACTTCCAAGATAAGTGAAGTTGTCAACGCGTTCGACTACTTCACTCCCTATCCTTAGTTCCGATGTTGACACAGACCAGTCCTGAAGCAACAACTTGCATTTAGAGGGAGAGAAGAGTATTACAAACTTTCTGGCATTGTTGCTCAGTGCTACCAAAAGACTGCATTTTATCAGCATCTTAACCAAACAGGACTATGTCATCTCAGTATTCTAAGTTGATAAGTGGACCTCCTGGTGGGAGATTAATGCCCGAAAATGCAGTCGATGAGAACGCTATTCCATCACTATGTTTATGATGAAGTTGAACGAAAATGGAGATAATGGACAGCCTTACCGGACACCACTTGACGTTGCAAAATCAGATGACAGTTCGCCATAAGCTCTGACTCAACTGGTAGTTTTCGAGTAAAGAGCCTTCACAATGTCTACGTACTTCTGAGGTACGCCTTTCAATGACAGACACTGCGACAGAATCTCGCGGTCTACCGAGTCAAATACTGCTTTTAAGTCAAGAAAGATCACCATTGTCGGACGCCGATAAGTATGCCTGTGTTCTAGACCCTGAAGAATGGTGAATATGTGGTCGATGCAGCCACGACCAGGTCTGAAGCCAGTCTGATTCTCTTGTGTTTGCAGTTCACGAGTCCTTGTTAGGCGTCCGATAATTATCGAGGCTAATATTTTAGAAGCTATATTAGCTAAAGTAATCCGTCTATGGTTGTTACAGGATGATTTTAACCCTCTCTTATATATTGGGACAACCAATGATTGCGACCAATGACATGAGATTACAATATTTATAACCTACTACTGAAAAGATTTTAGTTCATAAAACGAAATGTCATAAGAAAACTAGATAATAAACTGACCCAATTTATCCAGCCAGTACAATAAGTATACACTAGTTAAACCATAATAACCAGGATGGGTCTCAGAGAAATTAAATGATATATTCCAATTGCCCTCAGAACCATTCGGCTTCCAACCCAAGTTTAAGAGGTTGTATTCTTTGCTAGTGGAATTGCTGCATACGCCGCTGGAGTTGATGCTTTTAGAATTTGTTGAATTAATGTAGGTTGTAAACACTGATTCTGATTGCTTAACAGCATCCTAAAACAGTATTACATGAGCAATCAATTAGACACTTAAAATACTTGATATAGAACATGCATAAAGACGACATGTTGGTAAAATAACTGACGAAGACGCAACCTGAATCCAAACGGATACTAAAAATGTCAAATGAAAGAAACTACCGAATAATATTACACACTGAAAACCCCTACATTTATCCAATAACCTCAGTGGACATGGCGTTAAGAAACAACGTGGATTCGGACGACAGTTAGTCCACTGTAAAATGTGCGCCTTCTCACTACTTTGGTTAGTTACAAACATTAATTGTTTCCTTGCAGATGATTTCAGTTGTGCTTTAGACTTGGTCAACTCGTCCACCAAATCGTATATTGTCACTCGCAGGATGGGAACACCGCACCAATGCACACAGAAAAGCCCAAACGGTAAATCAGTTATTGTTTCTGATTTTCTACAGGAGTAATTAAACGCCAGCCAGATTACTGGTATGACTCTGTCGACTTGGATGTCGCGAAAATGCAAGCTGGGTACAGTTGGATGGAGCATCCTCAAGTTAGGCTGTTCGAAACATCAACTTCTCCAATTGTCAGGTAAATCTGTTATCTGCATAACTGTATATGAATTAGTTCAACCGAAGTAAAGCATTCGCCGTCAGTCAGTATCTCAACGCCTAATAACATTGCATTCTATGATAAGTTTTATTTGAAATATTCTGAAGTCTTGTAGATTATCAAAAACAAATGCAAAAATAAAAAAACTGTCAGTTGTGGTTATGAGTAGTCTGCAAATATGAGTCAAATGATGCTATTGTTGCAAGCACCAATAACAGATCATCAGTCAAAACAATTTAGCGGGGGACGACTAGCTGGTTTAAATTCCCCTTTGTCAACTGAAGACGAATTGCAAGCTTTAGATATGTTTATTTAGCAAGAAGCAACAAGGGATAAATTTGTAAGTAAGCAGATTTAGTTTAGTTTATTTACTATTTAGATGGTGATGATTACTAGGCTGATGTATCGCGATCCGAAAACGTCCCTCAGGTCAGTATTATCATACCTGATCAAGCCGGAATCGGTAATGAACTTCACGTTAATGGGTACTGCTACAGAACGGAGCACTACGAATTACGTATTCCATAATGCTATACGAAACAAGACGACATTCTAGTTTACGTTATTTAAAAGGTGTATTAACATCACAATTTCTATCGTCAGCGAGAAAGAGTTTGCAAACGTAAACGATGTGGCTACCCAAAGGTTCTTTCATGATACGAGGGATAAAGTGAACAATTGTTATTATCGAAAGATAATGTAAATGCAATCTAGACCGTGAACACGCTCTTTTGTTTTTAGGTGCCGTCATCTGCTGTTTGCAGTACCATGTTGGATAATAAATTTTAATGTAAACATTTTACAAAAATATCCATAATTACCAATTCCTGTTTTGTTTTAGGATTCAAGTAATGAGAGCGCTGCTTATCACCGAAAACACTATTATTGTGCAAGTTACATTTAATGTAAATATCTTTTGTTAAATATCCTTTAAACCCGCACTAAGCTTTTCATATGGATCGAGTACGTTGAAACTAACTAGATGTAGAGGGTAAACGTTGATGTGCATGAGTATCTGAGTATCTAAGCTTTCTTAATACATGAATCTCTCACTAATTTCTTTAGATTACGGTTGAAGACAACTTTTTCTGTCATTTCAGTGTGGGCATTTTACTGTTCCCTCTATGTAAATGGTGGAGAAGATTTGTAGCTCAGGTGGATGATTTTGGCGTTTGACTGCAAACGCCATCATATCTCTTCACTTATATCAATACACGTGGATAACTACGGACACTCATCCGATTGGAAAAATGTAGAAATCTTAGACAGAGGAAACTCCAAAAACACCAGAGAATTTTTAGAAGCCTGGAACTCAGGTCAATCAGCAATCGACAAACATATTGAAATCAATCCAATTTATCAACCAATCAGGAAAATCATGCATAAATATAGGAAGAAAAACCAAACTAATGTGAGACACAACCAAAACAAAGAAGTAAACAATGATAAATTTAAGGTCAATAAGAACCAATCCACATCGAGGTGCACAGGACAAGCTGTGAAACACATATGGAGAAATTCGAACACTCCACCTCTATCTGAAGTTTGTGCTGATGACGTCGTTCAGAAGAACGATGAAAGCTCCACGAAAAAACCATCCAGCTTAGAGAACAAAACTCCACCTCTATGTAAATGCTCTTGACAACTACATATGTGAAAATTGTTAATGAATTGTCCTCACTAAACTCACTATGCTGATTACTGTCGAACGCGCATATAATTTGTTTGACATAGGAAATTGGATGTTGACTGCCGAAGTATACAGTAAACTAGTACGTTGCCTTTTGCTGAAAACTACCTGTTTCACTTGTTAATACTGTGAAAGATCAGATAATTAGGTGTTAATTTGGGGGGAACGTAGACATTTAGCGGGAAATTTTCGGGAGAAATCACACTACTAACCCTGAACCGTGGAGAAAGGTGACATACTGATACATTTTCTCCTGCATCTACACTGACTTCTGTGAAGGATTCTATCCAAAATCAGCCTTTATTTCCCTTTTCGTTCGGTTGGATCAGCACAGCATTTATGGAGCCCCACAAAACCCAGAATGAGTTGAGGAACGCACGTGTCCACACGAGTTTGAAAACGGAGAGTTCAGCATATTACCGTTTTAACAGAGTGGGGTTAATAATTTTTCCAAAAAGAACTAAACAGCTCCTGGTCACAGTAAAACCACCGACATCGAAGAGTATTAGTACTAATTCTTTCACCGTTAACGATACATTAAACCCACACCAAGCATTAATTCATACGTATTATATGAACCATATACGATGACAACAAAACAAGACAGGGGAACTTACTGATTTTGATATGTGAATCTTCATGATAGCTGATAATAGTAAGCAACCATCTACACTAAAAGTAATAGGTTTAGCTGTAGCAGGTTCATTGATTTCTTTTCTAGCAAGCGCTACAGAACCAGACAAACATACAATGAAACATAACAGTGTAGAACGCATATCTAGCAAGCGATGGCTGTACGCCCAGGAATCGTAAATTTTCGTAACTACCGCGGATTGTGTGCAAATATCTCTATTACCATTGGTTGATTCAAATGGTTTAAAAGATTCCGCACAGAATAGAAGAAAGTTTCCGTGTCTAGTAGTAGTGCATCGCAGATACCTCTGGAAAATGACCAATGTAAATTATTGATAAAAGAGGAAAACGAAAAAATGTTGGCAAATCATAGTGAGGTACTATCCTTAAAACTTAAAAATATATCACGTTTCGTCTTACATGACTTCAGGTAAGTCCTTGAACTAGCTTGCTTAGAAGCCAATTCCAACAATTAACTACTATGAAGGAGTAGAAGGTGTGTCTACAGTCCGTTCCGTTGTGTTGTGTCCCTAGATTCTGTGTGTTAACCCATAGGTTTGTATTGGAGATAAATTTAAGTAGGTGTTTTAGGGGATGCTCAGAACTATTTAGGATGCTGTAAGCCATTAGGTAACCTCTAATGCGCCTTTACTATAATGAGTAGATGTTGAGTGATTAGAGGTGCTCTTCATAAGGCTTGAATTTGCGTCCCTGAAATGATCTCGTAGCTCGCCGTTGGATAAGCTCCAGAGTGTCCTTATCCTTTTGGAGCGAGGCAGGAAATACTGTGGTTGTTGTAACTGTAGTCTGCAACATGTCCAACCTGCTGACTGCAGTGGACAGATGAAGAAACATCCTTGACTGCAAGGGTAAGGTTTATATCATACACCTTGACTTCTCAAAAGCTTTTGACAGGGTAAACCATATATGTCTTATAAATAAGATCAAACAATTGAGTATCAAATCACCATTAATTGACCAGCTCACTTCGTACTTTGAAAAATCGACATTTTAAGGTCAATGTTAACTTCACTTTTTCTCAGGCTATGGATTGTGTTAGTGAGGTCCCTCAAGGTTTAATACTAGCACCTCTTCTTTTTCTTGATTTATGCAAACGAGCTTCCACATCAGGCATAGTCAGATTTATTAATTTTCAGTGACTATGCGAGGCTCTGGAGAAAAGTAGGAAACCAAGGGGATTGTAGCGGTAAATAAATCCTCAAAATCAGTGGCTCTGTAAGTTTTCGACATTGGATGCTGACCACATTAGTTTTAGTGAACTCACCTAGCTGAAGGCGCTCGGTCATGCATCCGCACCAAATCACGAGTGGGAACGCCGTGCTCAACAACCCCTGCAATCACTAGCCAGATTAGATCAGACGATCCTCGATATATTGATAGCCTATCAAATGTACCTTCAAACCTCCTCGCTCCTGTCTTTTGATTTCACTTGGTGGGTGCGATTCATATTAGAAGGTGTTACTGGTTAGAGCGTTGTAAAACTCAGGACACCCGAGCACCCATTAGTATCGCAGTAGACTCATCCGACTCGGCAATCGGAGGAGTCTTACAACGATGGGTTAACAACTCCTGGCAACCATTGGCATTTTTCTCTAGACGGTTGCTAGACATTGAATCGAGGTACAGCACATTCAGTAGGGAACTCTTAGCTATGTATTGTGCTGTACGGCATTTTCAACACTATATCGAAGTCCGCGAATATACCCTTTTCACTGACCATAAACCACTCACCTTCTCGTTAAGCTTCTCTTCAGACGAGTACTCACCTCGTGAGTCTCGACAACTAGACTACATTTCGCAGTTTACTTCAGATATCCAACACATTTCTGGAGCAAACAATGTAGTTGCAGACGCCTTATCTTGCATAACGTCCTTGAACAGTTTCCAAGGAATCGACCTTCCTAAACTCGCCGAGCTTCAAAAAGAAGACACTGATCTTCAGCACGAGTTATCGTCTACAACTCTCAAGCTACGCACCAAACAAATGGGAACAGGTAAGAAAACCTTACTTTGTGACGCATCTGCAGGTAGGGATCGCCCATTCGTGTCGAAACGTTACAGAACTTAACCGAATTCGCGCGAAGTTACAATCGAAGTGTAAGGATAAGAATGGAAGCACAATATAGCTGTCATTAGCACAGTCAAGCAAAAGCACATTAAAACAAACACTGGTACAATTGGTTATACTAATAATTGTTTTTATTAAACCAGTCGTGTTCTCGTGATAAATGTGAGTCACTACAGGAGCCCTTCGCTAGAAAGGGTTTTCACTTTCGATAAATAGCGGTTTAAATCGTGGGACTGATCGGCTGACGAGCGACTGTAGGACGAACGGATTGGCGAACAGGAAAGCGATCGTTGATCGTCGAGTTGCCAACGAAGGTTATTTTCGGAGAACGGTACCAGGAGCGATGTGCTGTACTTTTGCTTGAGTTGGCATGCTACCCAAGTGGTTTGCATCCAGAATCTGAAGATTGCGTTCGTAGAGAATGCGGACCAGAAACGCTGCAGACGTAGGACGAAACCACGTTGAGCCAAAAGACCAGAAGCGACCGCAACGACCAAGTTCGAGACCAAGCGTATGCCAAACATTCAAATCAATATATCGACTGAGTGCGCTGACAAGAGCGTGGTTGATCAGGCCAGCTTTCGCCAAAGTTGACTGAAGTCGACGGAAGCAAACGGAGATTGTCGAAGGCGTGGGCTCAGGAAACAAAAATAAAATCTAAAAAGAGAAGAGTGTAGCATGCGTGTAGTATAGGAATATCCTACACCGTATCGGTTGTTCACTGTGGGACTAGTCACGAAAGCGTACGAGTAACCGTACTCGGCGACCGGAACGTGAGACGGTAGTCTCGTTCGTATTTCGTGAGCCTGCAATCTCACCCGAGGTCAGAGGCGGCGTGGTCTGCTGATCTGGACGTGAGACTGTCGTCTCGTCCGTAGATAGTGCAGATGACGCGTGCTGTTGACCGGGACGTGAGAATGAGGTCTTGGATGTATCTAGCGTGGGATCTGAAAAACAGTTAAGGATCCCGCTAGGTTTGATAGGTCTAGCATCGTATCTCAGGGTATCAGATAGGGAACTGTCATCGACGTGTACTGATTTGAGACGATCAATGCTGACGATCTCGACGCGTCCATATCGATCAACCTTGAAGGTCTTTTCGTGACGAGCGATCGCGTGAAAAGAGCCTTTGTAAGGTTGTTGCCAAGGTTCGCTTACCGAATCTACTCGTATGAAAACACGTATACACGTAGATAACTCTCGATGGAGAGCGACCTGTCGATGTTATATTCGAGTTGACACCGGAGACAGCGTTCGCATAAATGCAGACTGTCGATGGACGTAGTCTGATTTACCGAAATTAGGTCTGCTCCGTGGTGTGAAGAATTCTCCGGGCAGACGCAATGTCGTGCCGTATACAAGTCCACCAACGGAACATTGGATATCTGCCTTTAAGCTCGTTCTGACCCCTAAAAGAACGAACGGTAAGGTTTCGTGCCAGTTGCCGTCTTCATGTGCTCGTAAAGCACTTTTAAGTTGGCAGTGAAACCGTTTACATAACCATTTGGTGCTGGGTGGTAGACGGATATGCTTATGCGTATGCATTCCGTACCAAGCAGACGGGTCAGCGAGGAGAATCGTTAATAGGGTAAAATTTCTCGAATAAAGCGTGGGATTTACCGTCACGCGAATAAAAAGTGACAAGGATTCGATACACATACGTGAGGGTCTATTATATTAATACTATTCTTATCGTTATCCGTCATGTCGTGTATATTATATGTTAAAAGATATAATAATATATATATGACAGACGTGGATAGATACACAATAGACTCACCAAATTGGCTTCTTTGGAAGGTTTGACCAGAGGTTGTGGCGTGTTCCAGAATTTGTTTCAACAGTTGTCGCGTGTTCCAAACTTTGGGATGACCAATTGTAGCGTGGAGTCGAGTTGGACTATGAACACAGCTACAGAGAAACGAGTGCCAAATGACTCCGTAAAATCCCCGAGAAGCCAAATATCAGAAGGCAATTAATGAACTAAATCGAGATGTATTTGCTGGCGATCTCGTGGCATCGAAAGGATACCGAGATCGTGCCAGGATAGAAGCTTGGTTACAGAACTTAACCGAATTCGCGCGAAGTTACAATCGAAGTGTAAGGATAAGAATGGAAGCACAATATAGCTGTCATTAGCACAGTCAAGCAAAAGCACATTAAAACAAACACTGGTACAATTGGTTATACTAATAATTGTTTTTATTAAACCAGTCGTGTTCTCGTGATAAATGTGAGTCACTACATAGTAAAGGCGTATTAGTGGTTACCTAATGGCTTACAGCATCCTAAATAGTTCTGAGCATCCCCTAAAACACCTACTTAAGTTTATCTCCAATACAAACCTAAGGGGCAACACACAGAAACTAGGGACACAACACAACGGAACGGACTGTAGACACACCTCTACTCCTACATAGTAGTCAGATATTGGAATTCACTTCCGGCTTCACTCTCTGGAAGAAATATTGCTGAGATCTTGTCTCTTCGTAGCCTTAAGCTCACTCCAACTACACATAAGTTTCCCTCAACAAACGAATAAATCAATCGTTTTGATGACCGAATTTAAGATAGAAACCTAAAAATACCTTCCTAGGATTGACCTTTGTTGGGCGGGCTTTAGGAATTCTTGCTTCATCATGAGTTGCCTCGTCCTTGATAGAAAGCCTGGTGGTTTCTCGTTCGAAAATTGTTACAGGTTTGTGGACACTCATCTCATATTCATGCTAAAACCAGGAATAAAGTCATCGAACAAAAAGGCTTTAAATTGCCCAAAGTAGTCAAAACTGGAACAACAATATGTGGAGTCGTTTTCAAGGTACTTATTAATAAATGTAATGAACACTCCCTTAGAATGGAATAGTTTTAGGCGCGGATACACGGGCAACTGAAGGTAGCGTAGTTGCTGAAAAAAACTGCTCAAAAATTCATCGCATTGCAGAAAATATATAGTATGTAGTTCTACTTCAAATAACGATTTAGTTGCTGTGGCGCTGGAACTGCAGCCGACACCCAAATGGTTACACTGATGATTTCTTCGCAAGTCGAGCTCCA